AGATGACCTTATGATAGCGGGCCACCTAGATCTACACAATTTTGTCAATACTGAAGCTATCAGAAACCTTAAATGTAGTAAGTACTTGCTAAAGGAGTCTTGCTGGAATTGACCTTTTTTCTTTGTTTGACTGAAACCTCAACTGAGAGACAATTTTGTGCAATAAAGCAAAACAACAATAACAAAGACACTGTATTAAGTGTACCTGTAAAAACATCACACATATAGCATTGTGTATGTATGCTTAAAATCTTCTAAAATCTACTTTATGACATCTATACTATTTACTTTCACAAAAAAAAGACAAAGAAAAAAAAAAACGGAAAAAAAACCAGGCATATTATTTTTCTAAAAGTGCCATCAATGAAATATATGCCCCAAATGGAGGTTCTCTGAATGTTTAAGCTTTTAACAACCTTCAGCTTCCGAGGAAGTAAATCAAAACCCACCAAACAGACATTTAGCCAAACACTCTGTCCAAATACCTATAAACACACACACACATCCGTCTCTAGAGGATGTCTATAGAGGAAGATGCATTCAAACTGACAGCAGTTCCATTGTTGGAGATCAACTACTTGCTGTAATGTGGGTTACTAGCAGACATTCCTACTCAACTTCTTTATTCAGCGACAGATCATATGAGTGATCTCATCATATGTGTGCAGACTCCCTTTAGTAACCAACACATTGCTTAACTGGCCATTTGCATAAAGTTGAGGTCTCTGTCACTTGCGTCGCCTCAAATTGCACTCTAAAGCGATACTAAACTGCAGTGGAAACGCAAACCGAGCCATGCCGTACCGTGCCGTACTGAGCCGTACCGAGCCGAGTCGTACCACGCAGTGGAAAAGCGCCATAATTGAAATGGCAAATCTTTGCTTTGTAAATCACTGTCAATGTGAATAACCTTTATGTTCATTACAAACTTCAATAGATTTGATACCGAGATCAACTACATCCTCAGCTTATATTCAGGTAAACTGTAGAGAAGTCAATATAATAATGACACACTCTGTCACAGACTACATTTTGTCTTTTGGAGTTATATAAGCTTTGAGCTTAAACCGAGACAGCAAAAACTGATATGAATGTTTCTTTCATTGACAGCTTTGATCAGTGCAATAGCCAGCATTCTGGTGGATGAGGCTGAATGAAGTAAGAGAGAAAAAGGATGTGAGCGTGTGTGTGTGGGTGAGAGAGAGAGTCTTCGTCTTTCTTTCCCTTTGTTGATGTGAATTGTGAAGCATTCCTGCACTGGTATCCTTTGAGGCCCTTACAACGAGCAGCAGCATGATGGTAAAAAGCCATCAGAAAAAAAAATATATATATATATATAATAATAATAAAAAAATAAAGAGACGAACCTTCCTCTTTTATTTTATTTATTTATTTTTTTAGATATGAAGGTTTTGGTTGCCTTTGGCTGTAAATAGTTGTGACAAAGTCACTAAAACGGTGGTAGTTCAGTACCCAACAGTTTATGAGCCATACATTAAACAACAAGATGGAAACAACATTAGACAAAATATATTTTAGCTTTGCTGGAACTTCAACACCGCTAGAAGTTTAAAGTGTTAATGAGTTAAAAATGTTAATCTCTCTCTCAGCATTTTGAGAGCGAAACGTCACTACACACTGAGCTCTGCTCTTATAAATCACATAACCATGTATTTAATGTTCAGTTATATTTGTAAGGGGATTGGCATCCTCCATTGTTAAAATGATTGCTCAAACACCTCTAGATGGAAAATAAAATGAGTATTGCAATTTCAACCTCTTGAATGACCAAAAGTGTGATACTGTCCTCAAGACTTTCCTTAAAAATGTGGTACTGGCTTAAGGAAGCAGACTGCTGCCTTGCCAAGATTTGAGAGACTCTATGCTTGTATAAATTTGATTAAGGGCTAAGTTGATAATAAACATAAGAGTGTTTTAATAAGTGCTACAAATATTGTAAGTGTGTGAATGTATTTGGGTTACTGGAAGGCTTGGTGGAAGCGAGGCAGGGTGGTGGTTGTATTCAGAGATGGTGGATGTGTATAACTTGTTGTGAGTGCATTGGTTTGTGACAGTGTGTGTGAATGTGTGATTGTGTGAAGGAGGCTAAGAGGCTCTGGTGTGTCTTGCATGGGAGTGGTCAGTAGCCCCTCCTCCTGGCTGTAAGCCACTCCCAAAGTAGGCCCTGCCCCTTGGTTGTAAGGCAGAAAATTAAACAGTGGAGACAGGAAGTCCAGGGACGATGTCATCTCTCCAGTCACCGTTGCAGAATCACTCAGCTTGGGTGTATCTTCAGCCTGTAGCTCTAGGAGATAACTTTCAAGCTCCACCCTCAGTGGCGGCGGTGGCGAGTAAGAAGCATGACCTATTGGATACCTTAGAGAGAGAGGCCCAGATGCTGGCGAGGATTGTGACTCTATCAAATCTACAGGCTCTGCCTTAATACTCAGCAGCTCATGAGCGTGGCTTTTCTTAACATGGCGGGTAAGATGGTCCTTACGGCCGAATCGTTGTGCGCAGTACTGGCAAAGGAAGTCCTTGCATCCTGTATGCACAACCAAGTGGCGTCGCACATCCTTACGGGTGTAAAAACACCTTTCGCAGTGCTCACACTGATGACGTTTTTCCTTAGTTGTGGTAGCACTTTTCCCTGCATGCCCACGGAGGTGCTCCAGCAGTAGGGGAGTGCTTGGATATGACTGCAGACACACCTGGCAGGTGAGGTCTCCACGGTGTGCGGCGTGAAGGGCTTGGTGCCTTCGAAAGCCTAGTTTGGTGTTGTAGCTCTTGCCGCATTCTGTGCAGCTGAAAGCCTCCTTGTTGGGGTTGTGTGTGTGGAGGTGGTTCTTCAGGTGATCTTTACGGTGGAACATCTTCTCGCAGTAGCTGCACTTGTGTGTCTTTTCTGGCGAGTGTGTGGCCATGTGCCTATGGACACAAATATGCATTAGCGTGCATTGACCATATAAGAAACTGTTATTGTCCAAATGTCATAAAACTAAATTGAGTATATCTGGACTTGCTTAATAAGATTTCACTAAGTTATGGGACCAACATTCTCATCAAGCAATCAATCAATCAATCAATCAATCAATCAGATTTTAGGTTTTAGCTTGGGATGGGATTGCAGTTTGGGGCTTTAATATTCCTTTCAATCAATTATTACCTTCAGATATTAGGTGTAAATTGGGATTAGGGCTCCAACAATTTAATAATATAATTTCCCTCTGAATTTTGTGGTAGTTAAAGGGATAGTTTACACACAAGTTTGATGATGTTGTTTCGACCCCATTTAGTTTCAGAATTATCTTATTTTGTGTTCTGCAGAAGAAGGAAATACAGGTTTGAAACAACAAGAGGGTGAGTAAATGAGAGAATTTTTAATTTTAAGTGATCTATCCTTTTAATGGTTAAGATTAAAGGGGTCATATGATGCTATTTTAAAGATCATTATTTTGTGTATTTGGTGTAACAGAATATGTTGACATGCTTTAATGTTCAAAAAACACATTATTTTTCAAATACTGTACATTATTGTAGGTCCTCTATGCCCTGCCTCTCTCAAACACGTTGTTTTCAACAAAGCCCCCTCCTTTGACAAGCACAGTCTGCTCTGATTGGCCAGCTAACCCAGTGCA